TGCTTGTGTGTCGGTTACGCTGAGCAGCCTTTTGCGGCATTCAAATGCAGGGGTAGAGCGACAACAGCACGCGGCCCCTCATGTGTCATGTCTCGGCTCACCTGGGATGACGTCAAACTGATTGCCTAAGCGGAAATGACTTGAATGCTTTCGCTATCGCCACGTCACACGGGGCGTATGAGGAATTTCGCACTCGATTGCCTGCCTGCCTGCCTGCCGCGAGACGAGACGAGAGCTTGTGCTTTTGAGGTAAAGTTTTGTGTAACGCGATTAGCGGTTTGCGTTCTACCTGGTTTTTGTTTGCTGTTGTGTCTAACTTGAAAGCCACCTGCCAGAATGGAGCATCCACAACATCCACCGAGCCCGAGCCCTGGCATCGATTGCAGTAATTGCAGTTACTCCGCACTGAAAGTTTGAGCCTGCATAGACTTGGAGTTGGAAAAGTCATTAAAAACTTGTGCCCAACTTTGGATTCGAATTAGAATTTCTGATTAAATTGTTTGGCACAGACCTACCCTCCCGCTGCACACACACACACACACACACAATCTTTTCTTGGCAGCAACAAGACAATTAATGAAAAATGCATAAGCCAAATGGCGAATCAATGTATATCGTGACATCAATGGCGGATTAACACCCTCAAACCTCATATCCACATTCGCCAACATTCGCCTCATTGTCACGCAGGGATTCCTTTACTGCTGTGGTCGTGGTTGGAGCGCAATTTGTATGCAAACCTCGCACTAAATTAGATTCTTTTTTACTGCAGTCACATCGCCTGTTGATGATGAGGCAACGACAGTGACAGTGTTCTCCTGCGGGTGCTGCTACTGCTGCTGCTGCTGCTGCTGCTGGCGATAAAATGCGTAAGCTCGTTAAAATTGCACGCGACGCGCCTCTTATAATAATGCTGCCAGTGGATGGCTGCTCGATGTGGGATGGATGCGGCATAGCTGAGGGATATTGATGGTGGGTCGTATTGATTTGATTCTGCCATTTCCAAGCACAGCATCTTGCGTAATGCACGAGGTAATGCCTGACTTTCATTTTGTGATCGATCCCCACATAAAAAGCTTTGATGTCTGATGACGGCCATGTCTGGCGGGGGCTAAGTGGCTGCTAAGTTGAACTAATAAACTCTCTACATATGGGCGCTTATATGGGTTATAGTTTGCCTTAACTGATAGTTAATTTCTTTTATTTGCAAAATGGTGAAGTTAAGGCATATTCTAATAGTTGCACTCCTCTCAGCCTGGACCTCTTTCACTCATTTTTCCAGCTACAATGGAACTTAAAATCCAAAGTTTTTCATTCATATTCTGTTTTTTAATTGCTTTTCCATGGTAGCATGCCATAAACCTTTTCATTCATACACACGAAATTATAAATGAAATTCACTCGCACAAGTTCTCGAGCTTATTTTTTGCATTACCTAATGAAAACTGGGACAGGAGCAGCTACCAGGAGCCAGGATCGGAGCTGGTGCCTGGAAGTGCCAGCCGCGTAAGCAAATAATAAATAAATAAATAAACGAAAAGCGCAAATAACATTTGAGAGCCAGATTTAATTTCTAACGTTGAGTGCGCATATTAAAACAGAACGAAGCTGAAGCTGAAGCTGGAGACTGGCGGGACTGAAGCAGGGACTATCCTGTGGATTGTTGATTGTGGCAAGGGATTTGGCGGGGAGGGGGCAGACAAAAGGCAGTGCCACTGGGTTGATAGTAGGGAAAGGAAAACCTTGCTGCGAGCAACAAACAAAGATGATGCGGATATCGCGAAGCCCCCGGCCTGGTGTCGTGTCTGTGGATATGCAGCGGAAATGCGGGATTCCAAACGGAATACACTCACCGAAAATTTAGTAAATACAAATAAATAAATAAATTTATATGCCAATACAGTAATTCCAAAAGTAATTGTTAAAAAAAGGTTAAAGAATATCATGGGTAGAGCTTTCTCTTTTACATCAAATTGTTTCCCGTATATCCTATTTATTTCAGTGTAGGATGTAGTGGTGTGGTGGCTGGGGGCGATATGAAAATAAACAATCAAAGCGGGTTGGTTGATCGGTGAGGGGTATGGGGTGTGGGGTGTGCGGGTGGTGCCACGTGAGGGGTGCGGCTGAAGGCGTAATAGAAGTTGGCGTGAGTAAACAATGAATTACGGAATCATGAAAGCAAATTGACTTTAATGCAAAAATCAAATATTTACACAGCGCGAGAAAAACTCACTGGAGGGGGTTCGGCATGGGTGAGGATGTGGATGTGGAAGCAATGCAATTGCAATCTCCAGCAAATAGAGAGAGCAATAGACAGGGAGAGAGACAAAGACAAAGACAAACAAACAAATGAAAGAACGAACGAACGAACGAAACGCATACAAATTGAGGTTATGTTAGACGTTCTGTTTCCGCTTGCACGCTTTCTCCCAAAAATGGTTTCGGCACTTAAATCCCTCACACACACACAAGCAAGCACATGGGCAGGGGTCATCAGTGGGTTAAGTGTGGGGTCAGCTTTTGTGCGGCATTGGTCTGTGGCACATCCGGTTTTCGGAGTGTACGTTATTAGCTCTCGGACTGCGGCTACTGCTGGGAGGGAATTTTACGATTTCATTCATTTTTGTGGCTGCCATTTGACGCCGCAAAATATGTAACAAAATTTTATTTGCCCCGAAATAGGAGCCCAGACCCGACCCAACCCGAGTACTTGGCCCGAATAAAAATTAAATTATTGAAACTATTATGCAATGCTTTGGAAGTAAAGAACGCCAAAGAATTTCTCAATAAAGGAACAAGACCAGAGCACAAAGCTCAAATGTAATAAAGCACGGGCTGGAGACAGTCCAGTAAAAAGTGATAACACGGCGAAAAAAAAGTGGAACAGAGTGGAACTGAATTGGTGTGCGATACAAGGGGACACAAATCTGAAAACCATAAAAGTGTCGCTTTCAATTGTTGCCCCGAACCATCGGCTGCAGGCGACAATCGAAGCCAACAAGTGAAATTGAAACGTTCAATGGAAAGGATAGTGTGCCGAGTGCTGGCTGGCTGGTAGCTAGCTGCTGGGAAGTTTAGGGAGATAGAGAACTGGGTGGATGAATTTTTAGAGGGTGCTCCAGACACACACAACACACAAATTGATGATGATGTAGTGAGTGAGTGAGTGAGTGAGTGAGTGTGAGTGTGAGAGTGGGAGTGTGTGTGTGGGTGTCTGTGGCAGGATTTTTATCGAGATTTTGTATGCATTTGATTGGGATGCATCGACTTTGTGAAGAGGTTTGTCATTCTTGAATTTGTATCTATTTTTAGATACCAAGAAAAGCTTTTTCTTTAAGTAGAGTATTTCGGATGCAGTGTAAGTGGATATTCGTTCCTCAGGGACTGCGTTTCTGTCAACGTTACTTTATTACATTCTGGCTGAGAATGATGCTAGCGATGATTGACACCCCGACTGGCAATAAATTTTTAATTTTCAATGCTTCCCTGATATACTGACGGCCTGATGGACTGACTGCCTGCCTGCCTGCCTGCCTGCGAGCTTGTTAAATTCAAATTAGAACGATGCTGGCGGCTCCATCTATCCGCAGGAGGAGTTGCCGCCGCTGACAGGCAAGATAAATGACAGAGGACTGCGATCGCAACAAATTAACCTTGTTACAAGAACTACGAGCAGAACAAGTAGAAAAACCAGTCGAGAGCATAGCTGCTGGCGAGGAATGGCTGTGGCGGGGGCTGCTTCTGGTGGCTGGTGCTGGAGGACAACAGTTACAAGTGTATGTAATTTTTTATCGTCTCCACTTCCGGCTCCAGCTGACTTCTGACTGCGCTCCCACTGACGGACTGACTTATGAATGGCGTGTGGCAGGAAGTTGAGGCAAGGCATAGTAGTGAACGAAAGAGAGACAAGGGGGGATGGTGCCACAGCCACAGCGAGTCGATAAATCAGTTTGTGTATCAAATTGAATTCACGAGCGTGCACTTGACACCCGCACACGCACATTTATCAGTCAGTCAGCCAGCCCTTCCTTCTTGTGTATCCTTAGGATACTTCCTTCCAAGTCGCGGCAGAACTTACAATTCGCTGAAAACAACTTTAATTCGGCTCGAGTGAAAAACCACAAAATTTTAATCTCAACTAAAAGCTGCTGAAAACACACACAAAAAAATAAAACATCGAGAGGGGCGCATTATAAATTATTCATTACAAAACGCAACCGCGACACGCCCACTACGCTGTACCCACTCTTCGTTACTCTGTTTCCTGTAGCCACCATTCTCCACTCCCACTCAAAGGCCGCCCGCCTGCCACTGACGGTTGCTCGTTTGCACCTAATTTGATTTTTAGTTGCTGCCCTCTGCCACAGTCTTTGCCTCGGCTGCTGGTGCTGCTCCTCTGGAACCCGGACTGGCTGTGGTTGCCTCTTGGCATTCGCTTTGTACCCAGCATTCGTACACGACAAAAGGTATATTCTATTCCCATTAGAGTGTTATCCACTTGGCGTGAACTGAGGGTATCCGTTAGTCGGTAGGCACACATGAGTACAGATGGCACACGCCTTGGCAGCTTGGCAACGTTTTATTTGCTTCTTTGCATTGCCCGATTCAGCTTTTCTTTTCATTCATTCCAGCGGGGCTGTCCTGTCGAAAAAATGTCTGTTATGTGGCTACAGAATTTTGCAGTAATTAATGGCAACTGTTTGATTAAAAAATTCCATAGCCGCAGCTCGACATGTATTTCCCTATGCATGTCTCTGGTTTTGTGTAGTTCTAGTTCGACCCCGACCCCGACCCCAATCCCAATCCCAACCCCATCCTCGGTCAACGTGGCTGAAGATGAATGCCGGCACGATGAAACGAGCTGCCAAGTTAAATCTATGCAAATTCCAGGGATCGCTTTAACTGCTTTGCTTTGCTTTGCGGAGCTGGAGATGGATACCTGCTCGAATAATTGTCAGCAGCAGCCCAGGGTCACAGTGAAACATCAGCATCGTAGTGGCAGTTATGTCAGTTCACAGCTGATTTAAATTAAAATGGAAGCAACAATAAAAATAAGAGAGAAAATTCCAAGTTTCGGACTTACAAAAAAAACGCCTGATCTGGCAGCTCCAGAGCCGTCGCGAGAGGAAATCGCGCCACCCGTCACGAAAATCCACAGGAAATGCACGCTGACAATTTGTCAATGGTTCGTCTACAGCCTCACAGCAGCCTGTCTGGTGAGTTATTCCACTCGTACTCCGCAGTTAGTTATCCGTATGTTATCTGAGTAACCCCAACGCACAGGCCCTGAACATATCGGACATGTTTATCTATGTGAAGACGATCTCTGGGATCAGTGGCTGTGGGCGGTGCATATTCCTGCAGTACCAGATCATACTGATGGTAGTGGTGGGGCTGGTCGTGTTTCTGCTATGCGTCATCCCCGTCGTGGTGCTCAAGCAGAGCGTCCAGGGCCTGCGCACTGTGAGTGCCCCAACGATAAGGAATATCTTCAGTGTATAATCCATTATTTGCAGTTCGTAATGCTGCTGTTTCTGGCCACGTGGCTGCAGATGATGATGATCGTCCTGCTGTCCCATGACTATCCCCTTGTTCACGACATCGAAAAGATCTGGACACGGCACAAGAGTCTGGATTTCTACGAGCACAAGGTGAGCACGTGGGTCGCTGCTTCCTTCTGTTATTTGAGTTTTCCATGCAGTACGAGTGCTGCGGCATGACGGGACCCATTGACTACAAATTGGCCAAGGACGAGGTGCCCAGCAGCTGCTTCAAGGACCGCAGCATGAGATCCCAGGACCTGTACAAGTCTGGCTGTGCGACCAAGAGGAGCAGACCCTCGGACTTGGCCCTCACCGAGCTGCTAACCATCGCCTGTCAGGTGAGAGAAATCATAGTCATACATGCCACATACCATTATTGTATGCCTTGCTTTGCAGTACGTCCTGATTGTGGTCATACTCTTCCACAAGATGTACCTGAAGCGCAACCTGGTGCCAGCCCGATCCCTGAGAGCACTGAACGCTGCGCGTATCCACCTCCCGCCGTAATAGCAAATTGCATTTGCATTCGGTTTTGAGGGATTCAGTCCGGCATGCGGGACTGGCATGCGGGACAAATTGGATTGGATTGGACTCTACTCTGCCTTGGATTTCCTCATATTTCACCAGCTGCAATCAATAACGATAAACACTCGAGTCTCCTTTTGAGTCTCCTGCCGAAAGGGATTCAATGTCCAGGGTCCAGTGTCCCGTTTCCCGTGTCCGGTATGCATATGGATGAGCCAATAAAGAAATCAACAAAGCATGTCGAGGCGATTGAAAAAGTATTGCAAATGCCAGGATAGCCAGGATAGCCAGGGATTTGGCCACGGACACGAAGAGAGACAGGGACAGAGCTCGACAATCGCAACAATATGCAAATGCAGCTAAGCGGCAAAATATTCAAGGACAATCCACCCATTCCCATTCCCATTCCAATCCAATCCCATCCATCCCATGCCATGCCATCTCGAGTTTATTTCTCTTTTATGTCGGTACATAAATTTTATTGTTGTCAACATTAAATTCTGGTCGTCGTGGAAAACAATTTAGCAGCATTTGAAAATCCATAAAATATGCATACAAAATTGTCCAGCGGAACGACCAACTTTATGGCTAAATAGTTTGCTCCGGCCCAGCCCACATCGTTAATGCCGTTTTTTTTTTTTTTTTTGTGTACTCCGTATGGGTGTTCTGGCGGAAACTTTTTAGCCAACGCCAGCGCCAGCGCCATAACCATAACCCTAACAACACTCTGGTCAAGCTGCTGAGAGAGCAGTGAGACCCAACCAAAGTTTATGGCGGCAAAGGCAATGGCAGGGCCTGAACCGAACTGAAGACCAAAGGGTCATGTGGCTCATTAAACTTTGGCCAACAATTTTTTGCGACACCCAACCCACAAAGACAAACAGAAAGTTTTGCACTAAATATTTGGGCGGAAAAAAAAGTAGTCCAACGGGATGGGGGAGGTGTGTGAGATGCAGAGACAGAGACGCTTTCGTATTCAGAGGATTGCAATGTGGTAGGGAATTACTTGGCACACATACGCCCCATTAAACGCTAGACAAATGGCAGGACAAGGAAGGGGGAAACCAACTGAAATGGAAAGTGTGAAAACAGTTCAGAATTGAAGGTGCATCGAGTTTTAAGCTGTGGTTACTTATGGCAATTCGAACGGAGTCTGGCGACTGTGGGTACGCTGAATTTAGAAGGGTTTATTTCCATTCTGCAGGGAAACAGGGAAAAAAGGTTTCGCCTGAAATTAAGACTCACGCTTTGGGCACCCCCCCTCTACCTTGGTGGCCATCTCATTGATTCGCTAAAACATTTTAATTAGCGCGACATGTGCGCGCGCCCTTGTGCGTCCGTCCTCATTGCCCCGTTCCTCATCCGTGTGGCCCGTTGCCCGTTCCCTTTCCCGTAATTAGCTAAAAAGCGAGTTCTTGTTTTATGCGACTGGCTACTGGCAGCTTTTTATTTCGTACGAACAAATCAACAAAGTGTCAACGGGCGGCAGGACTCTGCCGCGTTCCGCTTAGTATCCCCAGTGGGAGCCGAAGCCATCGAAGCTGGCGTGGGAGACCACAGCGGCGGGCGAGTACTTGACAAAGGCTGTGGGCGCTGCGGCAGCGTAGACGGGAGCAGGAGCAGAGTACACCGGAGCGGGAGCAGCATAGACAGCCTTGGTCACGACGGGAGCGGGAGCGTACACAGGAGCAGGTGCGGAGTAGACGGTCTTGGCCAGAACTGGAGCCGGGGCGGAGTACACGGTCTTGGCATAGACTGGAGCTGGAGCAGGAGCAGAGTAGACGGTCTTGGCCACAACTGGAGCGTGGGCAGCGTACACTGGAGCTGGAGCGGCGGCATAGATGGACTTGGTGATCACGGGAGCGGGAGCGGGAGCTGAGTAGAGGGTCTTGGGCGTGTAGACATTGTTGGTGATGCGGGAGTCCACCTTGCTGACGCTCGAGTAGGGGGTGACCACGTTCTTGGAGTAGGTGGAGACGGTGCCGCCGAAGGAGCGGACCACATTCTGCTGTGTCGTGCCCACGGCATCATAGTGGGGCTGGGCCAGCTTGGTCACCACTGGAACTGCTGGAACGGCATAGGTGGTGGCTGGAGCCAAGAAACCGGCGCTGGTTGCACCCATCAGAGCGCAGAAGGACAACAGGACGTACTTGAATGCCATGGCTGGAGGAGTTGGTTGGAGTTTTCGAGAATGGAAACTGGAACTGATGTTGGAATAGAGCTGAACTTGCTACTGATGCCTAACTGCCAAGATTTGGCAGTTTTTATAGCCACAAGTGCACAAAACCGACAAAAACCTCGAACCTATTGCCAAATTTCACGGCCATCGAGTCGATTGTGGCACTGAGGGTCTCCGTGTGTGTGTGTGTGTGTGTGACGGATTGACTTAGGCCTAAGCCGCTTCGACATGTGCTCGTACTGAGACCCAAAACTGGTTCAATGGGTCGACGAATGACTGCGCGGAAACCGTGCACCTCCCTCTCTGTCTCTGTCTCTCTCACCCTCTGCCTCTCTGTGCCTTGCCCCCCATCACAGAGTGAACTGGGGGGCGGCCGGGGACAGCTGCCACGAAACTCCTGCCACACACTTCAGCGGGGAAAGTGAATTATTTTGAATACTATCATCAGCTCATAAATTTTCCAGAACAGCCAAAAGAAACGACAGCGAAAAACTTTTATTTGCTCGGCGTATTTTTCCATTAAATTGAGTTCAACTCAAGCAGCAAATATGCCAGCTCCCGCACCCCCTACTCCACACCTTTTCCATCGAGTGGGGATGTTCCCGGCTTGTGTCAACTTTTGTATCAGTTGCCACAATTGGGGGGGGGGCGGCAGCGACTTGTTTATGATTTTTGTTTGTTTTTATTCCATGGGAGTGCGCGTGCCCTTCAAGAAGGAACATCTGAAACTGGAAGGAGCAGTGGAGATGTGATATTCTGAGCAAAGGGAAAGCCAAGATCGATATACAAATTAATTTATATTTATTATATGGTATAACTAATTATTCTACACCAAACCTAATTCCCTATGGCGCAGAATCTTGCAAAACTAATACTAAAAAAAACATAACAATCTTTCCTAACTCATTAGGTAATTCTTGAGCATAGAGCATACCGCATTTCGGTGCTAAGGACTCATTCGCTGTCCTGTGAGCTACCGGAGCCACCACTCCACTACCGTGGAGTTCTTTTTGTTTTTTCGCAAGTTTGGAAAATGAATTTCCCAGCTCCGCTGCTCACGGAGCGCATGATGAATATTTATTGAAATTACCAAAGTTGACGCTGCTCCACCAAATTGAATTGTGTTGCCAACTTGGGATGTGCCACTCTGTGGGGCAGCTACGTACACAAGCTACCATTGCTATCCAGTAGGAGCTACAAATTTTGTGATTATTTCTTGGCCTGGCTTCTTCCGTTTGCGCCCTTTTGGCAAATTGTTATTAATTTTACACTGGGGGAACCCTGAACACACATCACGGCATCGCCCGCCCGCCCTCTAAGCCTAATTACCGCGTTTAATTTATGTGAGCAAATTGGCTTTCGAGCGATTGCGCCAATCACTCTCAGCGGGGACAGGTGAACAGGCATCGCTTTGGGGGCAGCTCAATTACCAATTTCCAATTAACAATGGCCAAAAAGCGCAGCAGCGGACCAGCGGATTGGCACGCGTCTGACGCGTATATAAGCCGCAACATTTTGGCCAAATCAGCATCAGTCGCAGCCCAGCCAGCCAGCCAGCCTGTCTCGTCTTGTCTCTCACCTATCGATCTGCAAGTCACTATCCCTATACATATATCCCTCAACATGGCCTTCCGCTACCTCATCACCCTGTGCGCCCTGGTGGCCTACGCCCAAGCCGGTCTCCTGGCCGTTGCCAACCCGTCCGTGGATGCGGTAGCCTCCACTCAGCAGAATGTGGTCCGCTCCTTCGCCGGCACCGTGTCCAGCTACTCGAAGGCCGTCGATACACCCTACTCCAGCGTCCGCAAGAGCGACACCCGCATCCAGAACAATGTGTACACCCCGGCTCTGGCCAAGACCACCTACGCCGCTCCGCTGTACACCCAGGCCACGCCTGTGGTTGCCAAGACCCTCGTCCACGCTCCGGTTGTACAGAAGACAGTGTATGCTGCTCCTGCTCCAGTCTATGCCTCGGCTCCAGTGTACGCTGCCCACGCTCCAGTTGTGGCCAAGACCGTGTACTCCGCCCCGGCTCCAGTTGTGGCCAAGACCGTCTACTCTGCTCCAGCTCCAGTCTACGCCGCTCCAGCTCCAGTCTATGCCAAGACTGTGTACTCTGCTCCAGCTCCAGTTGTGGCCAAGACCGTCTACTCCGCACCTGCTCCTGTCTACGCTCCAGCTCCCGTCGTGACCAAGGCTGTCTATGCTGCTCCTGCTCCCGTTCTGGCCAAGACAGTGTCCTATGGCGCTCCCCTGGCCACCACCAATGTGAACCACGGACCCTCTGCCACCACCTACACCCACAATGCACCCGCCTTGGGAGTGTCCAGCTATGGCAGCGCCCAGACCGTCCAGTACTCGCCAGCCACCAGCGTCTCGCACATGAGCTTCGATGGATTTGGCACCCACTGGGGTTTCTAGGTTTCTAGGCCACCTCTGTGGCGGAGGCTGAGATTGTTAAAGCTTCTTGTTAATGTTGTTGCCTCTTAATAAAACAAAGATCGATTGTTGCAAGTCAAACATGCGCAGAGCAGTCACCTTCCGGGGCACCGCAGCCTAACCTCAGGCCTCAATCAGCGCCGGCTAAGCGGAATCGGTTCGGATCGGATCGAACAATGGGCTCGACCCCACCAGACATTATATCAGACTTTGGCAATAGCTTTCCGCTACGTCATCGGCCTTCGGTGGAGTGCGTAGGGGCGTTGGGGCGTGGGGGCGGCTGCTTTAAGCGGCTTTGCGATAAGTCGCGGAGGCGTGGCCCGTGTCGTGTATGTTGGCGCTTAACATTATGGCGCTTTAATTGGATTTAATACAATAATTCGCACACCGCCGCCGCCCTCGCTGGCCACAGGGCCAAAAGCCAAAGCGATCTGTAAAATGGGAGAAAGCATAGCCGAATCAATAGATACCCTTGATTATAGATTAATCCTACGGCAGCTAGTTTTTAATGTGAGAAAATGTGTACCTAATAGAATCATTCGACAATGCTTCTTTCTCTTCGTTATGAACATCATTATAGTACCCACTGGTAGGGCTATCTCTCGCCAAAGTAATCCATATTGGAGTATGTAAACCGAAATTGATTCCATTGGCAGCCCCACACTAACACGCGCACTGTCACGCGTTTACTTTTGCACTTGTTATTATTATCGCTGGTTAATTAACGGATATTTATGCTCTCATAATAGGCACGTACGCAACGGCAACGGCAACGCCACCGCACATTAATCGTTTATATGCTGCCACAGTTACAGTCACAAAACCTGTTTAATCTTGACATTTGCCTAGAGCAAGCCCACAATGTATCCATAGGCACTCGAAAGTGGAGTTAATGGATTCAATGGGATCTATTGACAGGTCGCTGCGTGGAGAGAAAGAGCAGATCTTGGTCCGACAGATCTAAGGCTTGTTTTGACAGTGATATTTTAGCGGGAACTAGGCGACCCCTTCGGATTGCATAAGTCAGTCGACGTCGATGGGAGTGAGAGTGGGAACGAATTGTACTCAAGTGTGGTGTATACCCTAACCAATCGGATAATTAAATCCTTAAGGGTGTAATCTATAAAAGAATTGGCAAGTTAGTATGCTAAAATGGAAGCAATATATATGGCAGGCCACTGCTGTAGTGTTTATCTGACCTTGAATTACCAGACATAGTCAGAGTGCTCCCCTTAAACCTTAATTAAAGTTTACTCAAAGTCTCGATTGAAGTGGAGGCTCTATGGCGCCTCTTTAAGCCACTAATGGATCAATTCCATCAACCGAGTGGGAGGTGACTTCAATCTGATGACCCCTTTAAGGTGACACTAATGAGACATGCAATGGAACTGATCCATCCCTGGGGCCATGCGGCCAGACAAGAACAATCAAATTAAATTAAACGAAAACGTGGCCAAAAAGAGTAGAGTGGATGGGTCCCCACAGGCTTTTAAGTTTTTCCCTGACAAATTAGCTGCCGCTGTTGTTTTTGTTGTTGGGTTTGGTTTTGAATTTGATTTGCGATTTGATTGCAAACACGCCCGCCCCATGCTGCCCCACCACACGCTGCCCCACTATACGCTGAAGAAGAAGACGAAGAGGAGGAATAAGCTGTGGCACATTGTCCTTGTCTGAGTTGACAATTAGTCAATAATTTATTTCAATTTCATTTCGCATGCCAAGCACACTCGCATCTCTATACAGATACAAATGCCTGCGTATGTATCTATATCTTTGCCTGTATCTGTGTGACCTAACTGCACTTTAATTACATTTACATTTCGGCTTGAGTTTTTGGCTGCCAGAGCTGCCACACAGAAAGGCAGGGACACAGGGCCCACACTGAGGGAAAAATCATTGAGTGTGCACTGCTAAGAATGTGCTCCGCCTGGACGGCTTTTCTGGCAGTGTAGCCGAGCAGTGGAGCCGAGCAAACATGCAATTGTTGCAATGCAATTTAGGTAAGCGAATTTGTCATGATTTAAATAACAGCATTATGTGTGGCAGAGTTTGTATTTATCTGCAGCATGAGTGAAAAACTGCAGACAGAGTCGTTTGGGTTTGTGTGCCCTGCACAGGACCTGTGTCCTGGTATAATTAAATTATGGCATGACATAAGACGCATAATAAGTCATAAATCAAATTTACCTATCCCACGGGCCTGTCCTGCCACCCCGCCACCCCGCACTGGCAGACACCACTCTGAGGCGAACGAGCGCTCGGGTCAGTCAGACGCCGTCACAGAAATTTAGATGGCACAAGGACACGCAGTCCCCCACCTTTATTCTGGCCCCAGCAATTTGATGGACATTAGGACGACTCTGTCTCGGCAAACAATTAGACAATTGATGCATCTGATGGGGCTCTGGTCCGTCTGTCCGTTTGTATTTGCATTTGCATTTGTATCTCTGTGCCGGCGTGGATGTGGACGCTGCAGAACCAGAAAAGGGCCGCCCCTGGCACGAGTTTGCAACTGTGACTGCGTTTAATGTTGCCGCTGTCAGGGACAGGCCACAGTTGAAGCATGCAACTGCAATAGCAGCCAATGTACGCAGATTTGTTGCCTTGTTGTGGCCTGTGTCTGTTTTGGATGTTTTCCGTGGTACGGTACACGCATCTGTTTCTAGGCAATACTTTTTGTTGGCAGAGGCACAACAAAATTGTGCGCAAACTCAATCGTTAACTCGCACCCGAATACTCGTATCTGTGGAGTCTGTTTAAAGTTTGGAGTTGGAGTTGGGGTACTCCAAAAATGAACTTCCCCTTCCAGTTTCCCCTCCACGCCAGCGCCAACAAATTGCTCCGCTTATCCACGAAGTAATGCACAAATGCCAGAGCGAACCACTCGGGCAGAAGTAGAAAAGAAAGCAGACTCCTCGACTCGTCTCGTCTCGTCAGCCATCGCGATATGTCATAGAAGCGCAGACAAAGGGCAACGCAACCCTCCGCTGATACGCATCGCGCAGCTCCAAGGCTGATTAAAATTTAATTTTTAATTTAAAGACTGTTTGTATTTTATTCGCAGTCTTGTTGCGGGACAAAACAAATGGATTTGGCTGCTGTGTAGGCGGCGAGGGAGGGAGGTGCGCAAGCGGCCCTTCGAAGGTCGTCCTGGCTGTTGATTTATCATTACTTTATGCAAATTGACCGTTTACCTTTGAGCCTTATCTGCGCATCTGTGGAAAGTTTAGCCCCCCCCCACCACCACCCACGAGACTCTGCAGCTTTTCTTTTTCCCGTCTGTCTTTTTAGCCTGGTTTTCCCTTCCCATGGCTGCCTGCCACGTGCAATGTCAATGCCGCCAAGCGATTAACATTCAATTAGCTTCTGGCTTCATCAATGATTTTATCACAGCCATTTGGGGCTGGGCCAGCGGTTGGGGAGTCCTGTTGCTGTGGCAGGTTTGAGTGTAAATTGTGGCAAATTATCATTAGCCTGTTGAGGGTGGATGTGAATGCGGTGCGGGCCGTTCGGGGTGTGTGTGTGTGTGTGCCCCAACAAGGACAACAACGACATCTTCACATCTTCAAAAGGTTTTTATGACATCAACAGCTGTCGTTGACAGATTATTGTGGCGATTATTTTAGCAAGATAGCAAAGGACACGACAGACGAAAGAGGACTGAGGAGCCATCAGCAGATGGAGCACAAACAGGACCCCAGCGGGTGGTCCAGGAGCATGAGGAGACGTTTCTGCTTTGTGCGTTCAACTGTAAATTGTCAACCATGTTGTTGCTGGTGGCTGGTTGGCTGGCTCTTTGTTGTCCTGGCTGCTCCTGGCTTCTCCTGTCTGAACGACACATGTGACAGAACCCGGTTAGGGGCCACTTAAGCATCTTGCGGCTTAACACTTGTAAATAACTACATTGGAGCTGGAAGAGTTGTCACATTTTTATAACAACTCCTTGGACATGGAAATTGGCCTTCCAGAACCTCCATATGAGCCCTCAGTGAGTCCCTCATTTTGGAGATGTGCTTGCAAATTGGCTTAAAATTCTCCCCTTGGCCAGGGATGGAGATTCTTGTCAATTGTGCCTGGCACTGGGGTGACAAATAATGTTTGATATTTCCCGAAAATCGAGAAGATGTGTATCTGCACCGTGCTTGTGCTCAAGGTCTCAGTGGTGTTTGCAATTATTGTACTGGCAGTGAGTTGGCACCGCAGCACATCCGTGCTTAGCTGAACCCATGGCCTATTCCACAGATCCTCAATGTATTGGACATTTTGGAGGGCACAGAAAAGTTAGGCAAGGCCACAACGAAAGGCCGACTACTGCTCATCGTGTGCTTTGTCCTGGACTCCGCGATTATAGCCATTCTCTGTGCGGGCCTATATGCGACGATACGCCAGAATATCAAGCTCTTGCAGCTGGTAAGTTTCAGCCTGGGGACAGCCTGCAGATAGCTTCAGCACAATATGCATTTGAAGATACTTTCAGCTTATTTTCGCACTGATAACCTACTGCCTGGGCAAGATGTCGCTCTGGATAGTGGCTGGGAACCAAGGGGGAGTCGTCGAGCTTGTGGTCACTCAAACCTGGTACAAACTGACTTTGGTCGCCACGGTAAGCATTGTTCTACTACGTAATGATTCGCTATAGCTGCTATTAACCACTCCTAGGTGATTGGCATGGTGCTGCTTACGTGTTTCTGCCTGAGGATAAAAGATGACGATGGTGAAGATCCTCCATTTAGCTAGGAATTTTGTGGAAATTAATTGAGAATATTCCAACATTATCTGGCGGATACTTTCTCAAATACAATCTTCGTATAATTTGACTAATTAAGCGGCACTTTCACACTCTCCAAACAACAGTCAACTACTCCCCTCCTTTGAGTTTCTGTCCTTGAAGTTCCGATGAAGTTGTTGATATCGAGGCGGGAGGACAGATGGGGCCATTTGTGGGTTGTGTGGGCAATCAAATTACATGCGAAATTATGGACACCCGCAGGACCATAACGGCAGCCAATAAAGATCGCAATGAGCAGATAAGCGGAAGCTGTGACCCCCGACCAGGGGGTCCTGTCCTGCGATACCAGAGTACAATATTGTCATCTGCTGCTCCTGCTGCTGCTGCTGATGTTAATGCTGTTGATGGTGTTGCTTTTAATGAAATTTAACGATAAACACAAATAATGACACTTTGCATTTTAAAACACTTTCGCAGTCGGTCAGGAGTCATCATCCGGCAGCAGTCCAGACAGCGTTCGATTGGCGGAAGAGAGGAGGAGGAGAACGGCACTGGAGTCCGATGCGATGCTCATTACACGCATTTCATTTGACACTTTTATTGGCCCAGATGCCCATGGCTGATATTTCAGATGGGGCCAAACGAAATGTGTAATGCTCTTCCGCATCCCCTTCTGGTTTATGCGGGTCATTTAATGGCCAGCAACGGATACCGATAAGGGCATTAAATTTGTTGGCCACTTTTCCGGCACTCTCTCTCTCTCTCTCTCACTCTGTTGGCCATAAAGTCGCTGGCCACATCACTCAGCATTTGGCCAATTACGCAAAAAAAAGGAAAATATATTCCCCCCTCGTGCGTGTGTGTGTGTGGGAGAACGTGTCAAAGTGCTGAAAAATGCAGCAAGTTTCAAGGATGTGGCAGGGGGAAGAGGTGAGAGGTGAGAGGTGCTTAGGTCTGGAGTGGCTCATTAGAGGTGAGGTGCCCGACTGCCCTGAAGGAGTTGCTGGTAAATTGTGTGGAAAAACGCGCTTTCCCCTCATCCACTTTTTAGAGTGTTTCGCTGGCCGCTGAGCTACAACCAAGTCGGGGATGAAAAGGATGTTCCGTGCTCCCATTTAAATATCCAGTAAAATATGCCCAAAAATTGAATATTCGTGTTCGTTTTTTCATATTTTTAATTCCACAACTGGCATAATTAAAGCCTGCCATGGCAGGCCTGGCCCCTGGGGGCGATTCTCTTGGAGAAATTGCGATTGTCGCCAAGCGGTTTGGGGCCATAACAGCATGTCGTCGTCGTTGTCTTCGTCGTCGTCCAGGCGTATGTCCTGCGGCTGATTAAAATCTATTAGAGTCAAAGAGATGTAAGACACTGTGCAGGCGGCAGGCGGCAGGCAGGGGCCTCGACCGCTCTCCCTGGGAGCTGGCACTCGGCGGGGTTCACAGTTTGTGGTGGGAGGGGGAGGAATACTTTGGCCAATGACTTGGCATGTAAATGTCGACGTTGACGTCGCCAGCAACGCAATTGAAATGCATGCGGCGGAAACTTCCAACTTGTCAGTGCAGAGTATGCCTGGGAGGGTATTCCGGTGCGGACTTTAGCTTTGACTAGAAAAAGAAATATTAAAGGATCCATCGAGAACGAGTGCCCTACAAAAACCTCACACATCTACAGTTCCTTTGAGAAGTTTAAGATCTTTGTTAGGATTTATTCTTAGCACTTATCTGCATCGGAATTTAAGATACATCATTTCTCTTCTCTGGCTTAACTAGCAGCTTAATACGATCAGCATCGACTCTCTTTCAGTGAGTAGAGAGTAGACAGATCTGATCTACTAGAGCTTTCTTGTTATTGGTAAACTCCTTTTGCTATAAAATGTTGGGCAATTCCTTTAAAACTTTACAAAAAAAATGGTTTATTGAGCTGTGGTAGTATTTATTTATTTGTGTCTTCTAAGGGTACTTAAGATTTAAGGGTATTTAAAATGCACCTTTTTCCGAAAGTCTGAACTCTCTTCCTATTTCTGTTGCTGTTGTTGTTGTTGTTGGCAGAAGTCGCACACAAAAGTTTTCAATGCTAAGTTTTCAACGGAAATCGTGCAGCTGTTTGGCCAGCGTGCGTGGGTGTGTGGGTGTGTGTGGGTGTGTATCTCCTCTTAAATATCCTGCAGAGCGAAAGCTTGTAAAAGCAAATTTGTTGAAATATTCATTTAATGGCTGCCACGCCTACTATCCAGCACAGATGCACGGGGGTCGAGTTGGGGAGCCTCTTTCAATATGATTTTTCATGATTAAAGCGCGTGCCGGGTACGTTTTTATCGGCCGAAAGACATTTGCCCATGCGATGCCCGGAGTTCGATATGAATTTTCTTATAAATTGTCGCCCCCAACAAATGTGTCCACACACACACACACACACACAGAGTGCGAGGGTTGGGTTGGAAAATGCTCTCACACGCTCGCATAATAAAGTGATTTTAAAGGGCACTTTTCCCCGCACTTTTCTTTCTCTCAGATGGCGTATGCGTAAAATTTCCATTTGTGCGAGGCACTCAACTTTATTGAACTTGAAGTGGAGACCCGCAGACTCGCAGACCCGCTCTCCAGCTCTCTGTCTGATAATGTTTGTCTTTGAGAGCACATGTGTGTGTGTGTGTGTGTGTGTGTGTGTGTTTGTGTGTGTTGGTGGTCTCCCTTCGTCCTCCTGTCTGCTGCGCCAAGATGTCCTGGCTTTACAATTCATTAAAATTTCATATAAATGCTGCGGATGATGGGCATGAACGATCATGATCGGGCACACAGACAATGGTAATCCACTTTACAGCTGAAGCTTCAGCTGCAGCTGCAGCTGCAGCAGGGCGTCGCATCGTGTCCGTTATTAACTGCCAGTTACAAATGCCGCCACTGCCACAATAACGGTATTAAAAGCCCCTGCGAAAGCGTCAAGTCATAAACTGCTCATCAGTCTTGAGTAACTCGCTCTCGCTCTCTCACTTTCTCGTTCTCCCACTCCCAATTCCACTCTCTCCTCCGGTTCCACCGTGTAACTGTAATTATGCGACGCCGCTGCAAAAGTTGTGCTATCACAACTCATTGTCTCGTCGCCATGGCGGGGCAGGAAGTGGAAGCGGCAAAAGCCGGCGGCAAAACATGCCACCAAGCGGGGGACGGGCGGTGTTTCGCAACGATGTCTGTGCGCCTTTTGCTCTTTTGACGCTGATAATGCAATTTCCGGCAGCGCCATTTTGCCCCAGCTCTCGCGTAATTTACTGTTATGCAATGTTTCATTTTTGTTGTGCGCTTTGCAAGCCTTTAAAGCAAGGATCCGCTCTCCGCTCTACAGAGTAACTGCGGGACAATCAACGCGGCTAGTTTTTGCTATTTATCTACATAAAGTTAATTGAAAGCATTCAAATGCCAGAGACAGAGACGGAGATGCCCACGAGTGCGTGATGTGTCAACATCTTTTGATGCCACATAATCCCACTCCACCTCCGCTCCCCGCCATTCATTCATTCAATCCGCCCCACAATAAGGGTAAGAGCAGGAGTACGAGTTGTATGGGAACATGTCTCTCCTCTTCGTCTTTATTACAAATTGGTTTTCTGCAACAACCACCCACACCACCACCCACCCACTCGCATGTTTCGTGCGCAATTTGCACCACCAAAATGAATGTGGAAATGTTGAATCGAGGGGGAGACGCATCAGCAGCAGCAAAAACCGAGCAATACTCTCCACAAAATGTGCAGAAAAAATAAATTGCAGCACACGGCTAACCCACCTAACGGTGAAATGGCTGCGGCAACGTGTCCTGTGCTGTTCTGTTCCATTCTGTTCGGTTCTGTCCTGTTCGCCACGTTAACAAACAGAAATCGAAAGTTTGACTGCGGTCAACGCTGGGGCATTGTCATTCTCCATCTATCGCTTGTGTCTCGCTTTTCTCTCTCCTCCGACTGACTGTCAGATTGAATGGTTTATGTGTGACACCTTTGACCGGTCGCAGAGGTGCCACAAGGGCAGGCCGCCGCTTTCTGCCAGACGATATAAATTAAAATTCAGCTGGAAAGCTGAGCAGCTTTAAGCCTTGGCCAGATATCGGTGGGATTGTGGGGCCAAAGGGATTCAAATTGTAGGCTTACAGGCAATAAAATAATGTATTTATTTTAATAGATAACATCCTGAATGGTTTATAAAGAATATTACCAAAGAAGACGTTCGTCCTAGGAATATGTTAGAATTCCCCGTAGAGATCTGAAATCTAAAGCGTGTACTTTGCTTTGCCGCTGAAAAAGAAGGTTTTCAAGTAATGTTAACTAAGAATATAAATACTTATATTATACAGCTCCACAAACTTATATTTAAAACACATCCAACTTCATATTGATACCTTCTTTGGGACTTCTTGTCTGGTAATAACCTTAAAAGTGTATCAATCCGGTATTGCTTAGCATTGAAAATCTCATTCCTGATTTTCCGGGTCCTTTTATTTGCCCGGCAAAAGTCACGTGGCATTCATAATTCTTAAAATGGCGCCATCAGAAATTATGTAGCAATACTAAGTGCACCCAAACATCTGTCCCTCGCACCATGAATGGGGCATGGGGCTATACGTGACCAGCATTTGTCGCACGCTTAAGTATGCTGGGATTTTTCGGGCATCGGAATGGGATGGGATGGGTCCGGTCCGGTCCAAGCAATGGGGAATTGATTTTGGTTTTTGGCCAAGTGCAAGCTGATTATGGAATTAAAACATATTTCTGTCTCAGAGCTTAAAACTTTAAGTGGCAAAGGTTGTCGCTGTGTTCTTGGTACGTGACATTCTTTTCCTTTCGGAGTTTATCACGTGACAAGTTTTCCAGCTTTGCGCTTATTTTCCACACTCCCAGAGAGTGAAAGAGAGAGAGAGACAGGACGAATGCGTTTCATTTTCATTGTGGGAGAAAAAAAAGAACTTTTCACGTGTGTGTGGGAAAAGGAAATGAATAAGCAAACGAAACTACAAAGAAGTTAACTGCAAAAGCGAGCTACGAAAGTGAACTTGGGTTACAAAGGAGAGCCATAGAGAGAGAGAGAAAGGAAGCGGCAAAGGCAGATAAATAACGTTGAATGGAAAAGCACGAAAAAATAAACAATTCGCCTTTTGAAATGCTAAACGTGCGAGAAAGAGACAGGGCTGGGAGGACAGGGGACAGGGCCAGGGGCACTCTTCACACGCTCTCTGCAAGGACACGGCCCAGGACCCGGACTCGTGTATTTTTATTAGCACATCGGGGACGCGGATACGGATACGGATGGGGTAAGGGGTAAGGGGGATCCGTTTATCTTGTTACTTGGCACCCGCTCAATGCCAAATACATTTATCTTGTCGTATTTATTTTGTACCACATTAATTTCGCTCGTGTTTGAGCAGAAATTGACTTATTTGCATTCGGTTTAATTTGTACGAACATCAATATGCCGCACGGAATAAAGAAAAAAAACCCTCCCCCGGACAGGACAGCCATGGGGAGACTGTGACACGGCCAATGTAGATGTAGTAGCTGGCAAGGGTGTGGATGCTGCGGCTTACACAGCCACAGGTGTTGCAAGTGTCAAATTTGTGATTGATGGAAGGCCGAACTAGGCTGGCAAAAAATTATGAGATTTTTTTCTTTAAAGTTATTCGTGCAGCAGGATGGGTGTGCGCGAAAGGGAAAGCCCGATTTAAAACAAATCTGGCAAAATCCCTAAAATTTTGGCATACTTGATAAAAAAATTGAATTTTTAATGTTTGATTAGCTCTCTAAGTGATTTGCTTATGAAATATTCTGAGTGTATCATAAATCATACAATTTAAAATAGAACTGGTGCGTTTCTGAATGATTAAAAATATGTTTCAGTGTGCAGGCATCTTTATACATATGTAGTACATAATAGCTGCCATATGAATAATCGGTCAAACAAGCTACTTAACTAAATTGAAAAAGAAATTAGTGTAGGGTGAGGACCACGCACATTTATTCCAAGCTTTTAAGTTCCTTTTGTTGGCTGAACTGCATCAGAGTTTGACAATCGCTAAACGTCACATCTTTCCCCGCCCACTGTCTGAATTTAATTATTTGTTTGCATTTTTTTTTGGAAATACGTCTTTTGTCTGGCTCAGTGAGCCTCGGACTTATTGCACTTCTTGGCTCTACGGGACTTGCGGCGACTCTTTCCGCAGCTCTTTTTAGGCTTGCTGCAGGACTTCTTGCGCTTTTTCTTCTGGCAAGCGGACTTCTTGCGTCTGCGCTTGCCACAACTCGACTTCTTGCGCTTAGACTTACAGCTGCGCTTGCGCTTATTCCAGAAACCACAATCCCCTTCGTCCAGGGAGGAATCAGAAGCATCTGTCGAGCTAGCTATGTCATTCTCTTCTGTGCCAGCCTGTAGGGTGCAAAGGGGAGCTGCTGCACTCACTGATGGATTTAGATGCACAAAGAACTCACCCTACGGTAGCGGGATCGTTGCTCTGGGGACATTGTCCGCCACCGCTGCGCCGCCACGTTCACAGCCTTTTGTCCAAAACGGCGTTTGCATTCCCGCATGTAATTTAAAAACGCGATTGTGGAGCGACCTCTAATCGAATCTGTGAGAGCGCCATCAGCGTCGCTGCTCTCGAATGCGGATTCCGATGAGCTCCTTGGATTGTTGTCGTTGATTTGTTCGGCGCTGAGAATTGAGAGAACCTCGTTGAGCGATTCATCGCTTTCATTTACACTAGACAATGACATTTTTCCTCAAAAACAAAAAACACAACACAAAAAATTTAGAAAAAAGACAAAAAAATTATTCAAAAATACGTTTGAATTTGAATTTGTAGCTAGAGATGTAGCACGAAGGGAGAACAACCTTATACTGAACGGAGGCCTGGCTTTGCTTTCTACCCAATAAATTTGGTTCAAGTTAAAACTAATAGACTCCTTCGATTGGGAATTTGATGCAATTTGTTTTAGTTTTGTGTAAGTGTAGTAGTGTCTGTAAGCTCCAATATTAACTTTGGGCACCAATTAAGGCATTTTTATTTAAGCCACTTAAATAGAAATGAATTGAAATTTTCAGATGAAAATGTGAAGTATCAGCCACAGCAGAGCGTATTCCAAAGCCAAATGAAATAATATTAGCCACACGGTCGTGTGCGCTTCATGGAACAGCGACGACAGACAAAATGCATTTTTCATAAAGCAGACAGCGATACGTGTCTGTGTGTCTGTCTGTCTGTGGGTTGGAGCTGGGAGGCCAGGAAGATGGGAAGCTGCTTTGTTGGGGCTGAAGCTGTGGGCCAGCAACGAGCTACCTGTAGACGTCTATCGACAGCCAGCGGAAACAAAGGAGGACGGAGGACGGAAAATGGCCAAGAGCGCAAAATGTCAACCGAAATTGCGATTGCGTTAAAACTCTATAAATACCAGAGTAACATGCGACAACAGCAACAACAACAACTGCGAGTCCGGCGAGGACATGCTGATGTGGCAGCAACACAATCTAATCCAGTTATTGCATTTTAAATGCGCTACAAGCTCTCACTCTGTTCGCCCCTGAGCAATGGCAGGGACGGGGTCAGAGTACGGCAGGGCAAGCAGCAGCAAGAGCTGGGTCATTTCACGCTCTCAATTCACATTCAATTATTTGCTAGGAAATTACTGCCGCCTTAAATTAAAGCTCTGCGTTTCTAAGAGTATGTTATTATAATATTTTTATCTGTGCTTAACAAATATATCAAATACATTAACAGAGACATTACAGGGCTCTCGCTTTTATTTCTTTTGATGTCATTTAACCATTTACCATAAATAAGCCATCGACTCAGTTTCGGCTTCTGTACTTCTGTCTGTACCTCGTAATGCGCTTATCTAGAACGCCAGTCAGCGCCATATGGAAGACAAGACCGAAACCGCAATTGTAAGCCAACTCTTTCAAATTTTAATGCAATTTAACAGCATATTAAGTAGCAGGAGTCTGCGGCCGGAAGCCACAATGCTGCCAGTCGGCGTGTGTGTGTGTGGGAAAGAGTCCTCCTGCAACAGTTGTTGCTGCTTGCCGCAAAATTTTAGTGCAGCAGAAGGCAAACTTTCAAACGTAGATAGTAGTAGCAGGAGCTGCCGCCTCCATCCCTGCTCCCAAGGTGAATAAGATGCTGTTGAATGAGTGTGAGTGTGAGTACCAGAGTGGGTATTCATGAACTGGCATGGCAGAATGGCTAATCAATTGCGCGCACATTGAGCACAAATCAAATTACAAACTTATCGCGTCCAACGATTTTTGCAAAAAAAAAAAACTTTTCAAGCTTTCCACTCTCCTCTCTCGTTTGGCTGTTTGAGATCAACTTTTGCTCAATTTGATTTTTCAACAAAAAGTAGAAGTTTTTGCCTTTTTACCTGCCCTTCTTTTGTCTGTGCTTCTATTCGTACTTTTGCTTGTCGTTAAACAAACTTATCCAATAAAACTTTTGTCAACATTGATTTAAGGCTAAAGAGGATGCATATTAAAGGAAAATGTGGTGGGTCGAAAGCTGCTGGGGAGGGGAGAGGCTGGAAAACATTTGACATTTCGCTTGCTCTTATCATGTGTCAAAAAATGTTAAGCTCAAAGCGGCGAGGCAGGGCTGCCAGAAGTCCTGAATATTAATGCGAAAGTTTTATCTAATTTGGTTGTTTCTTTCTTTTGTTACTTTCGTGCATGAAAATCACAGTGTAGACACTACTCCTAATGGATTCCATTGACTATTCAATGCACCTGGCAACCCTGACACACTCACACACACCACACAGAACACAACGCTTATTATGGTGTGCTTAAGCCAGTTTTTGCCTTGTCCTCGAACAAACACAGTAAGTGTTGGGGCATGCCGCATAAGTAGAACAGTCCAAGACAAAGTTTTCCACTGCAACCTGATGCTGCTGTTTTTGTTGTTGTTGTTTCTGTTGCTGTGGCAGGAATGCATTTACAGTTAGCTGACTGCGGCAGCTTCTCTTTATCCACTTCTACTTAATACTTTAATAGTTGCAAAAGTTTGCCCAGCACGGGCTTAAGTAGCTCTCTTCACCGCTTCGCTCGGCTCGGACTCCCTAACTCGGTTTGTCTGGGAGTAGTGCTTAAAATAACTGTAAAACTGCCAACATAAATCTGGCCACAACATATTTTATGTTGCCACTAGCCCGAAGTTAATGCCAGCCACGTGAGCATCTACCGATTAAAGACTTAAAGTACACTCCTCCTTCGCGGTGTAGGACCGAAACTCAGAGAACGAAGATTAAAAAGTTGAGCAGACAAACAACAAATTGACGCGTATCTTTTGCATATTGAATAAAAGTCAAATTGTGTTTGGCATATTAAGCGGGAATCAGTCGGAAATCGGAGTCTGAATTGAAAATCGAAAGCAAATCTCTGCCAAATCCCTATCCTCCTTCTCTGCTGTCCTGTCCGTTGGGTGGAGAAAAGTGATTTTTCTTGTCGGACTTACGGCTTAGCGACGCAGCAATTTTCACTGCAGATTCTGCGATTCTGGCCAATAAGTTTGAGCAAGTTGATGGGAGTCGGGAGTGTCTCTTGTACTAGTTGGATGTCTTAAATATTATTCAAATTTGATGCCCGCGATGAGTGATGGGTGGCGCGAAAAGTTTTAAATATTTTTTCAATTGAAAATTAACTTTTCTGTCGTTGATAATCTCTGCTATCGAATCACATCGCTTTTTATTGGTGTGCAATTTGCTTTCTTACTCGGGTAACAAGTATTTGTTGGGTTCTTTGTCCGACATAACACTATTGACAATTAATTACTCGCTTTACGAGTATGCTTTATGACAGCCATCGGCCATCGGAAATATTTAAAATAAATATTTTCTGCCTTTCGCTGTAATTCAAGCTTATGGAATGTGTGCACAGCTCCGGATGCAGGACACTGCGAAAACCGCAATGTTTTGTCAAATTTCAGCGAGGTGTGCTTTAGAATAACATGTTTATGCCAGAACATACATACATACATATTTATAAGCAACCAAAATGATATTAGTATATTGTAAAGAATTTTTTACGGATGGTAAATTCTTATTATATTCTTATTGTCGTTGATGACAGCTGATCGGGGAATTCCAGATCTGTTAAGAAATCGTAGAGGAAACTACAAATGTATGGTTGGGAAAATATCCTTCATCCTTGATATGGACTCCATAAAATTTCCGATCCCAGAAGTAAGTCGGTTATATTTAAATCTGAGCTCAAATGGAAGAAATCGGTTATTTTCAAATCTGGTATCTCAGCAGGCGAACAGATTTCTCTTTTTTTCTTGTTTCTCTTTGTATTCCGTTGCTCTCTTTTTCGATCTTCTTTTTCTCATTTCCTGCCTCCACTTTCCACCGCTCACAGGGCAAAAAATGGTTAAATTCAAATCTGAGATACCAGGCGCACAGAAATCAGCAGAAGGTCGCTGCTTTTTTTGATTTCTCTCTTTGTTGTTTCTCTTTGTATTTCGTTGCTCTCTTTTTTCGATCTTCTTTTTCTCATTTTCTGCCTCCACTTTCCACCGCTAACGGGGCAGAAAACGGTTAAATTCAAATATGAGATACCAGGCGCACAGAAATCAGCAGAAGGTCGCTGCTTTTTTTTTATTTCTCTTTTTTTCTTGTTTCTCTTTGTATTTCGTTGCTCTCTTTTTCGATCTTCTTATTCTCATTTTCTGCCTCCACTTTCCACCGCTCACAGGGCAAAAAACGGTTAAATTCAAATCTGAGATACCAGGCGCACAGAAATCAGCAGAAGGTCGCTGCTTTTTTTGATTTCTCTCTTTGTTGTTTCTCTTTGTATTTCGTTGCTCTCTTTTTTCGATCTTCTTTTTCTCATTTTCTGCCTCCACTTTCCACCGCTAACGGGGCAGAAAACGGTTAAATTCAAATCTGAGATACCAGGCGCACAGAAATCAGCAGAAGGTCGCTGCTTTTTTTTTATTTCTCTTTTTTTCTTGTTTCTCTTTGTATTTCGTTGCTCTCTTTTTCGATCTTCTTATTCTCATTTTCTGCCTCCACTTTCCACCGCTCACAGGGCAAAAAACGGTTAAATTCAAATCTGAGATACCAGGCGCACAGAAATCAGCAGAAGGTCGCTGCATTTTTTTATTTCTCTTTTTCTTGTTTCTCATTGTATTTCGTTGCTCTCTTTTTTCGATCTTCTTTTTCTCATTTTCTGCCTCCATTTTCCACCGCTCAAATGGCAGAAAACGGTTAAATTCAAATCTGAGATACCAGGCGCACAGAAATCAGCAGAAGGTCGCTGCCTTTTTTGATTTCTCTCTTTTTCTTGTTTCTCTTTGTATTTCGTTGCTCCCTTTTTTCGATCTTCTTTTTCTCATTTTCTGCCTCCACTTCCCACCGTTCAAAGGGCAGAAAACGGTTAAATTCAAATCTGAGATACCAGGCGCACAGAAATCAGCAGAAGGTCGCTGCTATTTTTGATTTCTCTCTTTTTCTTGTTTCTCTTTGTATTTCGTTGCTCTCTTTTTTCGATCTTCTTTTTCTCATTTTCTGCCTCCATTTTCCACCGCTCAAATGGCAGAAAACGGTTAAATTCAAATCTGAGATACCAGGCGCACAGAAATAAGCAGAAGGTCGCTGCTATTTTTTAATTCTCTTTTTTTCTTGTTTCTCTTTGTATTTCGTTGCTCCCTTTTTTCGATCTTCTTTTTCTCATTTTCTGCCTCCACTTCCCACCGTTCAAAGGGCAGAAAACGGTTAAATTCAAATCTGAGATACCAGGCGCACAGAAATCAGCAGAAGGTCGCTGCTTTTTTTGATTTCTCTCTTTTTCTTGTTTCTCTTTGTATTTCGTTGCTCTCTTTTTTCAATCTCCTTTTTCTCGTTTTCTGC